GTATACATGTGCAGAGGTGAATCCCAGCTGCCCAGATAGCACAAACTTCACACGGTTTGGGGCTTTGCTTAGGGACACAGATATTAAAGATGCACAGGCTGAACTTAATTTATGTCTGTCTTTTCCCTTTTCCTTGCCCCCTTGCAACTTTCTTAGGCTTCAAAGTCCTTCTCCATTTCCACAGCCTCCCTCCAAGCTTTCCCTCTCTATTTTATTTTCTTCTCACCACCTGCCTTTTAGCTCCTAAACTCCCACAGCACCTCTGGCTCCCAAAACTTCTGGCAGCTTCTCTGCCTGTGAGCCTCCAGCAAGCAAAAGTACTCACACTTCTTTTGATAATGCCTTGTGTGACAGTAAGGAGTCTCGTTCATGGCTCTGAGATATTGCCTTGTGTAAACCCGTCCCTGCCCTGAGCACAGCATTGTAGACTAAGGATGTTAAAATGCAGTTAATTGACTAGTCGACGGAATTTCTGTCGACTAGTCGATAGGCACTTCTGTATACGCGGAGGAATGCGGAATTCCATGTACAGCCTGGGGCCAGCGGGAAGTCCTGCTGACTCCGGGCTGCACGCGGGTGCCTTCTTTGAAATGCACGAGAGTCCCCAGTGGGGGCTCTTGTGCGTTTCAGAGCCATAGAGCCCAGGATCAGTGGGGGACTCAAAGCTCCATGCTACACTGCATGCCGCTAGGAGCCCGGGGTCAGCTTGGCCCCCAGCTGATCCCGGGCTCCCTGCAGCATTTTGCAGGGGGCCCAGGGTCAGCTGGGGAGTCCCCCGTTGACTCTGGGCTCCCCACAGCTGCCCATTTGAATCGCTCAGATGCGTTGTTCAAAGGGACAGCCGCCAAATAGCTGATCCCCAGATCAGCTGTTTGGCGGCTGTCCCTTTGAACCTCGCACATGCATGGCATCTGTGCGATTCAAATGGTCAGCTGCGGGGAGCCCGGAGTCAGCGGGACTTCCCACTGGCCCTGGGCTGTATGCGGAGCTCCACATTCCTCCTTTGAAATGTACAAGAGCCCCAGCAACAGCGGCGGGGGAAGGTAGGCAGCAAGAGGCGGGGGAATCGACCAGGTAACTCAACTATCCGATAAGTATTTGCTTATTGGATAGTCGAATAGTCCTTAACATCCTTACTTCGGACCCTTTTGAATCTCTGAATCCCAGGGCAATTGCCTCCTTTGCTTCCCTCTCCCCCCATCATTGGGCCTGGTCCAGTATTGGCAGGATATCTGTAGGTGCTTTATGACCGTGGTAAGGAGATGATAAAGATCTTACTGGCGGAGATTGTAAAAAGAGCAGGAAATGACACAGTGGCAGCTTATTTTCTCAGAGAATGTAATGGGAAGGGAGATTGCTGCAGCATTAATTAGATCTTCAGTGAAACATTTTTAGCAAGGTTGGGGAGTACAGCTAATTGAATCTGTTCTCATTTCCATTCTCCTGTTGTGATTTGTGTGTGAAGCTTGGGATGATGTATCAAGAAATCACTTACATTCTGTACCCGTTGCAATCTCTAGCTGCCGAGGCTGGGCTCTGTGCACAATAGTGGTAGCTACATGGGGCACCAGGCCATTTTTATGGTAACGAACATCAGCGGGCTCAGTTCCATTGGGTTATGGCCTCCTCACCCTCACTTCTCAGACTGTTAATAAAAGAATAAAAGCATCTAATGTTTGCCAAGTCCCACCTATCCGTATTCGTTGTCTGTACTGCAATAGTGCCTATGGCCAGGACAGCCCCATTGTGTTAGATGCTGTACAAAGTGCAGAGGGTGGAAGACCCTCCCTTTCCTAAAGAGCTTACAGTCTAAATCAGTGGCTCTCAAACTGTGGGAGGGAATCCCAAAGTGGATTATGACTGCGTTTTAATGGGGTCACCATGGCTGGCTCAGACTTGTTGGAATCCAGGGCCAAAGCCAGAGCCCCAACACCCAGGGCCAAAGCCTGAGGGCTTCTGCCCTGGGCAGTGAGGCTCAACATACAGGTCCCTTGTCTGGGGCTGAAGCCCTTGGACTTTAGCACTCCTGATTGGGGCAGAGGGTCTTGGGCAGGGGTGGGTAAAAGGGCTTCAGCGGGCCTTATCCAGCCTGCCAACCGGATAGATCCTGCCCTCGGAGGCCCTGCTGCTCCCACACCCCCAGGCCAATGAAGGCCTGGGGCAGGGAAGAGCCCAAAGCCTTCTCTGCTCTGCCCCCGCCTGCAAGGCCTCCTTCCGCCCTGTGATGAGCACATGGCGCTTTGAAGGGCAACCGGGGTGCGGGAGGGAGAGCAGAGAAAGCTTCGTGCGTTCCCTTGCCCCCAGGCCAATTGGGGCTTGCAAGGAGGGCTGACCCGGTCTCCCTGGCTAATCAGGGCCTGGCCCTGTGGCACTTCAAAGTGCTATGTGCTCCTCGCAAGGCAGGAGGAGGCTTCCTGCGCTCCCCTGCCCCCAGACTCTGATTGGCCGGGGGTGTGGGGGAGCATGCCAAGCCTCTTCCAGGGCATGGGTGCCTAGTGGGAAGTGGGGCCAAAGGGGCTCCCCACCCCCCAGACCGATCATGGTCTAGGGGTAGTTAGCCCTGCCCCTTCCTGTATAAGCTCCGTCCCTTTTGGGTAGGATTGCCAGGTTTCCGGTTTTGAACCGGACAGTGCAGTATTTGAGCTTCTGTTCAGGAAATAAATTGAGAAAATATAAATGTCCAGTATTTTCTAAATAAGATGTAATGTGGATTGTGATGTAATGTCAAGTGTGTTCGGTATTTTTGTTGAAACCATCTGGCAACTGGGATGGCCTGGGGCTACTTCAAAAAATTTTGAAATGTCCCCAGGCAAAAATTATTGCCTGCCCCTGGTCTTGGGCTTTGGTTTACCCACACTCACACCCCCAAAGGGCAGTTGAGCTTAGGCAGGCTCAGGCTTCAGTCCCCTCTCCTGGGGTTGTGTAGCAATTTTGTTCTCAGAAGGGGGTCATGGTGCAGTGAAATTTGAGAACCACTGGTCTAAATAATAGGCCTTTTTAAACAAACGGTAGCAGTTGTGCTTAAAATGAGGGGAAGAGTGTTATGCGTGTAGCTTCATTTCTCAATACCTGTTATGTTTACATGAGTTCATGCACAGCGACCTTGATTGCTACCTGTTGATCACGTAAAAAAAACAACAACCCTCGATTCAGCAGCTGAAATGGGACAGCACTAAGTATTGGCTGTTCTAATAGCTGATATTTTTTTTAAAATAGCAAGAACAAAAGAGAAACATTGAGTGAGTTCAAGTCTTGGAATATCAGATATTGTGGTTTTTTTTTTTTTTTTTTTTAAAGAATGTGTATTGGCTAGAAGTGGCATTACTATGCATCTGTATGATTTCCTCAAGTGTCCTTCTGCCCCAACATGTGCATGTAATCCATGCCCACTGGATGTGTAGGTTACAAATGGGTTATTGAGTGAAACCTGTTAATAGAGAGAACCCATGAACTAATTTGCTTTTGGATGTTCCAGTCTACAGCAGTCGACAGAGATGTTTCTCACATGTTGTGTGAACAGCGTGTAACCAATACACCTACTGGCACCAAAGCCACTTTCAGAGAGAAGAACGAGTCTGTTCTGAAGCCTTCGCTGAGAGCCAGCTGGCTTTTAGCTCAAGTTGTACAGGCTCATGGACTAAACTCCAGAGGTTCCAGGTTCAGTTCCACCTGTCAGCATTACAAATGCAACAGCTTTGGATGCTATAGCTAATATTTGCAGAGTCATTTTGGCTAAATATGTTCTAGAAACTTTTGAAGAGCTTCTGAAATAGTTAATTTCTGCATGTTTGTTCTTCAAAGCTTCCTAAGCAAGGTGATTGAATATAAATGTAAACTCTATTAGAATTTAAAAGCAAGAATTCCACCCAGTCATCTTTGTGCTGCTATCAGATATGTTAGGTGAAATTTTGTAAATTTGCATCTGTTGGGGGAAAGAGCGTGGGAAAGCCTGCAAGTTCACAAACAAGTTTTGCAGTTATGAATTCACTCTTTTTTTAGTGTTTTGCTAAACTGTGTTAGATTAGTAGCCTTTGGGATGTGGTGAGGTCTTTAATTGGCACTAATGACAAGGGATTGTGTTTTGAAAAAATATTTTTTTGTGCCTTGATTTTTTTGAGTGCCCAGCTGGACAACCCTTTAAGGGACTTGGTTTTCAGGGGCGGGCCCTCAATATTTTTTATAAATTAAATTTGTTAGCATTTTCCCACACCGTGTCAATCTCTATGTAAACATTCCTCCACCTAGCGCTGTGGATACATGTCAATCATAAGATGCAATAGTTGTTCCAATTCAGGGCCTCTTTTCAGCCAGTTATGAAAGGATTTCTGAGATAAGCAATGTATTCTGGTCCACTAACCACTTTTTTTTTTTTTTTTTTCATTTGTATCTTAAATCAGAGTTTGAATCCAAATCTCCAGTGTATTTGGATCTGCTTCTGGCTATTCTAACACACTATTTTTTTTAATATGCAAAAGCTTGCAGCATTCTGCAATTTGTAATAATGTGTTAATTAACCCATTGTAAACCCTATCCTTTAATGTTTATTCTTTGCACAATTTATTTTAGCTCAGTTAACACACCTTACATATTGTGCTGTACAAAAGGCAAAGAACAGTTTCTTCCATAGATGATAATGTGAAACTCTGTATCCTCTTCTGCAACTTGACTAATAAACAGAAGACAGGCGACTGATGCACCATGCTTCTCAGTGTATGCTACAGGATCATGTGTAGTTCGCAAATCACATTTGTGCTACACAACATGAAAAATAGTAAGGGCCAAGCTATTTGGGAAGTGGATCTACAAGCAGCTTTGTCCTGAGGGAATATTTATTTGAAAAATGTGGAGAAACTGTGGTAGTTTCTTTAAGAAGATACTTGCTGGTAAATTCTTCAGTGGTGGTTTGTGATTGTCGCTGTTTAAAAAATGAGGGATATCCAGAAGGGTCTGCTCTTTGTGAATGCCTGTTTCTCAGCATCATTTTCCTCTCATTTTTGTAGGGAGAAGTGTCTCCTTCCACTGCAGCTTGCTTTGGAATCAAAGAATGTGAAGTTGGCCCAACATGCTCTAGCAGGGATGCAGGTATGGCCTGGGACTTGAGTGGATTTTGACTTCCTTGGTTGGAGAGTGGATGTAGAAAATGGTCACTTCTGTATGATTTAATTTAAAAGGAAATATAGATGAAAAAAGGAGGAAAACGGGGGGGGGGGGGGGGAGTAAATAAAACATCAAGTCATGAGGACTGACCTAGTGATACCATGGGCACTGTTGAGAAGTTCTTTTCCATAGTATGGGCTCTGCTGAGAAGGCATCCGGGAGCTACTCTCTGTGCTAGCAGAGGCAGAAGATTCTTTGGAAGCTGTATGCTCTTATGCCTAACCCTGCACTTGGATTCCAGTAGATGACTTAGGAGCTGTACTGAGAGTCCCAGTTAGCCCACTTTGATCAGCTCAGAGGAGAGTGGTGCTTTGAGGCTGGATAGGGTAACATAGGCTAAAGTACCTAGAGCTCTGTTATAAATGTATAGGAACCCCCACTGAAAATATTCCTCATACACTCACTAGCACTAGGTGAAGTGAAGCGGTTTTTATAAATTACAGCTGAAAACAGCCATGCAATGCATATCCCAAGAAAATCAGATGCAGACTTCAAAGAGCTAATGTATTTGCAGGTAACAAAATGGAAACTGAGCATGTTTTTGCTTTGTTGAAGGAAAATAGACATTGCACCAGTATTCAGTTAATGTTAATTGCTAGGAATATAGTTTTGTAGGGAAGGCTTCATGCTGCTCTTCTACTAAATGCAAGTTGCTGTTCACTGAGTTTCAATTCATCCCAGCACAAAAGGCGAGCACAAGACCTTTGTTTGAGGGCAGAAGTGCAGTAGGACTTCAGTGGTGCACGTGTCTCTGTTTTGCCCCAAGGTAGCTGAAAGTAGGTTTGTGTTTTTGAAACTAATAAAAAGGTCAACTGTTAGATTTGAAAGTGGGCTCCCTTAAAGATCCAGTTAGGTCCATTTTTTAAGTTGGATTTGCTTTTTTGGTGCCACCTTTTCTAGCTCTATCATGCTGTCTAGAAATACCTCAACGTAACACTCCATTACTCATATACAGTACTGGGTTCTTTCCAAGCTGCTCAGGCCCTAAAAATCAGTAGCACTGTGTCCTTTATACACATCCTCTTGCTCCTATCCCTGACAAATACACAAAAACGTCATATCTCCAGAACAACCCAGTGGTCAGGCTGCCTTCTCTTCAGGGGCTTAGTTAATGTTTTTGATGAGTCATCTCTTGAGAGATACATAAATCCCTCTCTCCATCCTCTGTCAGTGATTAGGAATGCCACCTCCACAGTGCTGCTGTCACCTCACCATCCCTGTGGCAGCTCAGCGTGAGAGAGTGGGATGCTAGCTAAATCTTCATCTCCCACTAAGCAACATGTAAAGTAGTGGGAGTTGTAGGCCAGTGTTTCTCAGCTTTCTTTTATAAAGTACCCCTTATTCCCCCCCCAAAAATAAGTACCCCCAGTACCTACAGTTTTTTTTTCTCTACTATTGCACCATGTTTGTTTAAACAACTTAATCGTAGCTGGGCAGGCAATGAAATTTTTGGGTGTAAAAAAATACAAAAATAATAAAGCACTATAAAACTTAAAACAAAAATTCAGTTTTTCTCCAAATTTCAGTTGTTGATGTACCCCTCAGACTTCTCTCAAGTACCCCTAAGGGTACTCCTACCACTGGTTGAGAAACACTGCTCTAGGCCATCAAACCAGTCTCATTGTCCACTCTGTATGTGTGTTGGAAGTTTTACTTCTAAAATGACATTAGCTGAGTGCTTCACCTAAGCCAAGACCAGCAGCCTTCAGAAATTACATATTGAGAGTGCACTGGGAAACAGTCTTCTCTAGATCATTTGAGCTCACGAAAAAGAGATAAAAGAGCCTGAATTCAATAATGAATTCAAAAGTGTTCTGCAAGGCTTAGATCCTGTCCTCCGAGAAGAAAGGACAGGTATGCAACTAGTACTCTGATTAGAGTGGAGTTTTATATAATGGGGAGAAATCAACAGTCTCTGAGACTGAACTGCTTGGTGTTTTATTGCAGAAGCTGCTATCTGATGAGAGATTTGTATCCATGGAAATAGGCGCCGATGAGAAGCAGCTACTAAATCAGATGCTGAATGCTGTCAAAGTGACTCCTCTTCTGAACGAAGACCTGCAGGTAGAAGTGATGAAGGTGAGTGATTTACAGGTGTCCGTGCTTACAACACAGACTGTCTGGCTGACACTCAGGGGTTTGTGAGCATATTTGGAAGTGTCTTGGACATGTGCACATCTTGCATTCAATCCTCCCCCTTGTGACGAACAGTCATTTGCAGTCCTACTGAATTATGTAACAGTAGCTTTCATTTGTTGCCTTGTAACACAGTTATCTCCCATGTTGCCATTACCCTACCTATAAGTTAAAAGGCAAATCTAAACAGCATAAAGCAGACACTGTGGTTTGAAAACTTCTTTGGAAGAAGTTCACAGATGGCACAAGGATTCACATTTGTACATGCTCAGTGTTTGTTGTATATACTCAGATGGAGGATTTGCACATTGGAAATCCTGGTTGTACGCATGCACTTTTGAAAATCTGGACCACGTTCTCTATCTGTTGTTTGTCTCTAGAAAAAAATTGTTCACAAATAGTGGTTGGCAAAGGTGTGTGGTGTGGAGGGAGGAATCTGACTTATCTGGGCACCTGCTGGTTACCCCCAAAATATTTCTGAACTAGTGTATGGGAGCCACCCATATTTTGTATCCCTTAATGGAAGCTTTTATTCCTAGAAATACTTGTACTGCTTCAGGATGTTTGTTATGAGTTAGAATGGTCAGTTGGTAGTGAGGGAGTCAAAAAATGACCTGCCCTGTCAAGAGGCCTTTTAGTATACCCTGTTTCAGATACCAGCTCATGAGCCCTTAATTAAAGGTACAGTAGAGTCTCAACTTCAGTTCATCTCATACCTGATAGAAAACAGTACTATGATTGATGGCTTCCAGTTCTTTGGATCTAAATTTTATATTTGATGTAAATAATTTCTCTTTGATATCCTTCCAAGTATCTGCTTACAGTTAGGAGGGGAAACTCATCCAGGAAGAAACTATTTGAGGAATATGTGATCAGAGAGGCCTTTTCTGCATGTTCTAATGCACTCAGTACTGTACTGTATAATTCTGCCTCATATAGAATTAAGATTTATGAAACCATTTGTCCAAAGGGATCTTACTCCCTTCTGCTCCTAGACTCAATTACTCCTGCTAATTTTTCCTTAGAGCTTTTGTTTGCTTTTCTTTTTTTGTGGTCTTCAGCACTGAAAGGTGCCCCTGCCTGAAGGAGAAAGTGGCCCTTGCTAAAACTGATCCATATTTGCCAGTCATGCAGACTGCTTCTTTTTCTGTCTTTTACTCAAAGCCCTTTGTTTCCTTTGTGCCCATAGCAAAGATCATTTGTGCGTGCAATTACCCAATGCACATATACAAATTCAAGAGTGATGCCTACCAAAGATGATGTGCAATGGGCGGAAGTTGTCAGGGAGATGGGTTCAACTCTCTCATTACTGAGAGAAACTCCAGTTCTGAGGCAACTTAAAGCTGGTGAGAGGAATCCTGAGCACCCACCAAGAATGTATCCTGCCTGCCTCACACACACCATCTCCCTCCTTCTCTTCACTTGCCTCTGTGGTGGGAGGGGACTGGTCCAGGGTTAAGAATCAACACATCTGCACAGATAGGGGGTGCTCTTCCATCAGGTGAAATCTCTTTGACTAGTGGCAACCAGTTTCTATATTGTGCAAAATGGCTGAAAACAAATTAGGGCAGGCAATGATACTCGCAGCCCTCGGCATGTGCTGTAATTTAAGTGTGGTTGCATATATATGCAAATAACTTCTTTCACACTGACTGGCATGAATACAATTAAGGCAAGACTACACAACACGCAGGACCCATTTAAGTCAGTTCTGCTGATATTAATAAAACGTAATATTTACCAGATTTCCACCCATATGACAGCACTGTTAATGAGCACTTTTAAAAGAAAATTGTATACCCATGTTTTGGGTGTCCAGCTTGAAGCTTCAGGTTGTGCATTTCTTGGAGTGATTTTACTCAGAAAAAGGTTTCCAAGCCAGAGTGCTCCAGCCTGCGGCGGGTGGGGAGCTGGGTGAGTCAGGCCAGACACAAGAGGCAAAACACATCAGGTGCCCAGGAGCTCCATTCTGGATTCCCATCAGGGCTGAAGTCCCCAAATGGGGGCTGCCCAGCCACAGAACTGTACCCAAACGTGGCCAGTGTGAGCCAGTCAGTGCTTCTCAGGTTCTGCCCACAAGGCTAAGCAGCCAGCACTTCCCACAATGCCCTGACGCTCCTGGCACACCTTCCCTGGGGTCTAGAAATGCCGACACCCCATGCCCGTCTATTCCAGCCAGCCCATCCACTTGTGTCTTTCAATGCTCACCCCGCCTGGGAGATTTGTTGAGCTCTGTGTAAACCCAAACTGCACCGCGGGCACAAACAGGCCAAATGTGGCCCACGTGTGGAGTAGCCCTGGATTAGGGAATCTGGCACAATGTGTCAGATGTTTTAAAGGTCACTGGATCCTGACAGACCATTCTTAAATTCTTAGTTTGCTGTGAAATAACATATACAGTGCCACTTATCCAAAACTGGGATATGCAGAAATATTAGCATATATGAAATGTGAAATTCCTGACACAAGTTATTTTGGGCAGAAAAGAAAGCATTATACTTACCAGACTCGATTTACATCTTTTTCTCTCAAATACCACATTGTGAGATATCTTGTCCAGTTTTTCTCTGGCTTTTTTTTTTCCACTGTGCATTGTTGAAGAAGAAATGCTTTCTTCAAGGGTTTCAAGAGTCCATACCAAAATTGGGTTTATGTCAGAGAGCAGACCCCAATTTTAACTAGAGAGGCTGCAAGCCATCCATTATTGAATTATTTATTGCTATTTATATAACTAAAAATATGCCTCGCCAAGACACTAGGGATCCTAGCTCACCATGAACAATTACAGTTAAATCTCAGCAACTGTAAATCTTCAGTCTTCTTCAAAACCCCAGTCTTTTGCAGTGTGACCTGATGGTTATCAGATTTGAGCTATTTCGGTATTTGGAGCTTTATTGTCCACTGTCCGTGTGATACTAATACCCTCTTGAACATGACTCATTCCAATTCAATGACTTTATGATAATCAGGGGTAGGTGGGTGAGGGTGTGTGGGGGGGGTGTACACACAGGTAGCAGTGTGGGCTGTAGAATGGAGCACTGGATTGGACCTTAGAAGATGGGGGTTCAAAGCTTGGCTGTGCCATAGGCTTGCTGATAGCATTTCAGAAATACCTTGGTTTCCCTGTTATTAAAATGGAGATAATGATACTACTAAATGGAACCAGTGTTCCTTACATATGTAATGTGTTGTACAATGAAGTAATAACTAGGTTGGTTAAGGTTTCAGCCCTTTGATGTGCACTGAGCAGATGAATATTGTTGAATTGAAATTGTGTTAGCTCTTGGGACCACATCTTAATTTAAATGACCAAAATGCAAGGATGAGTTAGGGTTGTGCGGGACTGCCTTATCCAGCTTGAGGCACTGAAAGAGTTAGCACAGAGTCTGAAGAGCTGCTGGGAAGACTCGTGATTAATTTAGAGACAAACACAGACTTTTTTGTCTTGAGTTTGAAAAGCTTTTAAAATGGTTTTAGCATTTTCTTCTTATGAAATTAGACTTGCCTTACTTGCAAAAGCATGTGCGGTGTTGATAAAGACACTGTCAGATATGGTCAGGTCAGCAGTGGACGAGGAAACTGGTCTGCTGCTGAGCTGTTTTAGTTTCTCTTTTTGTGATCGTAGTACAGGTGAAAGACCCTTTCTTTTCTGGGTCTACTGGTAGTCAAAAGGAATCTAGCTCAGAACATGACCTTCTGGCTCTAAAGCAAAGGGAGCTAAATATAAAAGGAAAGTGAGATAGATGAAGGAGCTCTAAAGAGCGAGGACCTTTTTTTGGGGGGGGGGGGGCACACTGTTTTATCATATGTAATATTAATTCCTACCATATTATTGTGACTTCTATTTGTAAAATGTCAATTTTCCTATTGACTTAATTTGGAAGCTAATTCTTTATTTTCTAAGAAGAAATTAATCCTGAGGCCCCTCTCAAATATCCCAGTGAAAAACAGACATAATGCACTTTTTAACACTTGTTGCTTGAGGCTCAGAAAAATCGTATTTTAAATAGGTGCCCACACTTACGATTGCTGTGGAGGAACAGCAGTAAAGTTAAAACAGCAGGCAAGTCCTCTTGGAAAGTGACAGTTGGCAACTTAGGATGTGCCCCTCTCACCACCCTTTTTGTTTTTCTCTCTTTGTGATTTCAGTTAAATTAATGCGCTCTGATGCATCATTCAGAAGCTTGAGTGTACAAGCAATGCAGGATTAAAATAATTCAGGATAGAAAACTTAAAACTGATGAGACAGAAACTGCAGAGGAAGATGAAGAAGAGATAGAAATACTTAATTAAGGCTGTCACTGGTGACCTTTTCTAGTATTTATGAGTAATTATTTCACTCTTAGTTAACGTGCTAAAGCTGTTCTGGTTCTAGGCTCTGAATATTTCTTGCAGCCTAATAGGCTTCTAATTTGGGCTTCCATCTTCTTAGCCCAAATAAACTTATCTTCAGGCATTTAACAGCTACTGCTTGGTATACCATGTGGCAAGGTTTGCACACAAACACCATTGCAAAAAAGGATATGGTTTGTAAAAGAATGGTCAAAGGAAGAAAGGGCTCTGCTATTACCCAACTCTGTATTGTCCATAGTGACCAGCTGTTTAAGATTGGAGTATTCCCAGCAACTCCAAATTTACTTTTGTTGGTGGATTAGGTGTTCTGCTCTCTGATTAGTATTATCTTTCAAGTTCTATAGGCTTTTACTGAAAAAAACCAGGCAATACTCTGTTTAATCCATGCATGAGATGTATGATCAACGAACCTTTGCTAAAAACCGCTTTACAGGAACCTTGTTCTGAACCTTTTCATGTACTCCATGCACAGTATTTGGGACCCTGCAGCACTAATATAGGCAGCATTTTCTGAGATTTCAGCATTCACTTTTGTCTAAATGCATCCGGGAAATCCAGAAATAGAAATTATAGTTCTATACTCATAAACT